ATGTTTTCTCTCTTTTCTTTTACCCTCTTCTCATTATTACTTATTATCTCTCCTCTTCACGTCTCTTCTTTGCACTTTTCTGTTACATCTTTCAAATTCTCATTTCTTTCATTCTTTTATTTTTCCATGCTATTAGACGAAAGAAGCTGTGTCGCTAAACGAAACATGCCACTAGTTTTTCCAAGTTGTTATTTACTTTTCCACTATATAATGTGGGCGATCATGGTTCTCCGCAGTTTCCAGTCTTTTGTTGTTTTCTGTAATACTTCCTCGTTCATAATTCTTAACCCGGATATCTCAATATCAGTTATCTCCCTTTAATTCAACTCTGCAACTTTTTGTTAGCCTCAGCTCTAGCCGGCTATTGAAATCACAAATCTTTGGGTCAAGTCAATGGAATCAGCCAACGCTTTTATTCACTGGGCCAGGTGTCCTTGAAGAGGCATGGAACGGGAAACTAGAACAATCTACCCCGGTGGAGGAAATAAAGGGTTCAGTACGAAAATCCAATCACTTGACGAAGACCAGAGCGTACAACGGCCAAAAGATCGTGAATATGACAACGAAGATGAGGACATTTTGAACATTGTAAATAGTGTATTTAATTACAATAACTCAACTCAGAAATATACACTTGATTTTTTTTTTTTTTTTTTTTTTTTTTGTCGGAGCTTTTCTCACTTTTTCAATGTGATATATCACTTCTAGATATTGCTGATCATGGTTGTCCACAGGTGCCCCATCAATAAATACTCCTTTGAGGCAATTCCGTCACCATCCATTTGATCGAATTCATGATGTTCTCTCTTTCTCTCGTTGTGTGATGATGTAGGTGATCATGACACTCCACAGCTTCTTGATTTTTATTACACTCCGCAAAATATGCTTGCTTACAATTCACCTTTGTTTTTGTGGAATTTTTCCTTCTCTCCAGTTAATCAAATTTATCTGGACTTGCCCTCTACTAGAGGGGCAGGCGGGGGGGGGTCTCTTTCAAAGTGTCACATCAATTCTGGACATGTGATATCATGGATCTCTACAAATTCTTCTTGGTTGGTTGGTTGTTTTTGTTTAGCGGAATATCAACAAGTCTATGGGTTATTTAATGCCGAAATCTAAATATTTTGTACGTAATTTTAAGCTTTCAACTACAGATATTGTTACGTAATTTTATATTCCCAGAGTAAAGATATGTTTTTTTTTTACATATATAGTTTATATATGACAAAATGTATTGTTGGTAAGTTTATTATAAAAAGGTATTTTATATTTCTTAATATCGCATTGTCATCTATCTATCTATCTATCTATCTATCTATATATATATATATATATATATATATATATATATATATATATATGTAACAGTGATGACACTGTGTGTGTGTGTGTGTGTGTGTGTGTGTGTGTGTGTGTGTGTGTGTGTGTGTGTGTGTGTGTGTGATAAATAATAGGGCAAAATGGTCTCTTTAGCTATCGTAGGGAAGTTGGTCTAGGGAAGGAGTAACTCTGAATTCAAAAAACAGCAAAAAGAGAGATGGGCTCTGTCAAGATATCTTGCCCTAACTACACCCACTGTTGCCATGGTTATACTGTAAGTGATGTTCCTACGGTCTTCATAGATAACGGAACTTGTGATAATTATTCACTGTAAAAAGAATCACACATATATATATATTAACGATATTAATTTTTATTTTGGAAAAAAAATTGACTGATTTTGTTTAGTGTCCTATCAACTCCCAGAGTAAAGATATGTTTTTTAGATTATATAATTTTTGGATCCTAAAATATATTGTTGGTAATTTTACAATAAAAATATTTCTGTTAGTGTTGCATTTATTGTTATTTTGCTATAAAAATGTATTGTTGGTCATTTTATTATAAAAATGTCTTGTTGAATTTTGTTTCGGAGTTCATTATGGGACTCTAACAAGTTCTACCACCCTGGGTCAGGTAGAATATTCACGAGTTCTTGTTTTGCTCGCAATCAGTGTCCTGCAAGGGGATTCTGTGTTCGTGTACTAAGATTGTAGACATATCAGAGTCCATAGAACTCACCTTTTTTTTTTTTTTTTTTTTTTTTAGTTGGATGTTATGTCCAGGAGATGTTAAGTACAGATCTCATTATCCGAGTGTAGATTCCATCAAGCGTAGAATCTAGGGAATTTGTTAATATCCAGGCAGTGGCACCATACATTAAGGACGTCTCTAGAGGGCCTCGAAGAATTTCCGCTTGAGATTGTCTGGTAGATCAGATTTAGTTTTTCTCTATTATTTCTCGTGATATGTTTGTTTGTTAAGTCTACTGATTTTCATTACCTTCCCTCATCGTCTGCTCTTTTCACTAAGTTTCTCTCTCTTTCTTATATGTCTTCATATTTTTACATTTTTCCTTCTCTTTTAACCGCTTTCATAATATTTATAGGTTCCGCTAATTTTCTCTCTCTTTCTGATATACATTCAAATGTTCCTTTTTAGATTCTCCTTTTCTTTTTAACCGCTCTCTTAATGTTTATGTTTCACTCATTTTCCCTCTCTTTCTTATATATCTTCCTATCTTCCTTTTTACTTCTTTTTCTTTTGTGTCCCTCTCGCTGTCTGTACTTTTCCCTCATATCCACTCACTCTCACTCTCTCTTATTCCTCTTCATATTTTATATTTTATACTTTCTCTTTATCTCATTCTCACTCTCTGTACTTTTCGCTTTTTACTCATATTCTCACTTTCTCTTATAATTTACTTTTTCCCTTTACCTTTTGCCTCTCTCTCTCTTTGTCTGTATTTTTCACTCTTACTCTCTCTCTCTTATTTCACATGACATTTTCCCGTGTTATTTCTTTTTTATATATCTTCATTAATCCTTCTCTTTCTCTCTCTCTCTCTCTCTCTCTTTCAGCATCTCTCCTTTTATTTTTCTCTTTTTCTCAAGTTGTCATTATCTGATGGCTTTTTTCGTTTCAAATCTCACAAGTTAAGACTGATGAATCAACTACTTCTAAAATTTAAGAAAAAGAACATTTGACAAAAAAAAAAACAAAAAAAAACGCACAAGTTTGTTTGCATTTTGCTCCTATTTATTTAATTTCTATTATTTTGTCTGCATTGTCTGCATAAGAGTCTTCTTACTCGCGCCTCCCTTGTCTCTGTTCGGCTAGGAATTTCAACACCGCCGCGCCTACAATGCCCCTACCCGACACCCCGGACCTCTGTCATTTGGCACCGACTTTTTCAAGTTGGCTTTAGCATTAAATTTAATTTGTTTTCATTCATATTTTTATTCGACGATTTCATTTCCAAATCACATTGGCTTGAAAAGCTTTTAAGGATTAATAAAAGACTGCCGGGTGAAAGAAAGAGAGAGAGAGAGAGAGAGAGAGAGAGAGAGGGTGGGGGAGATAAAGGTGGAAAGATAAGAAGGTAGGGAAAAGGAAAAAATGAAAAAAAACGAAGTACTGAAAATATAGTCTAATACTAAGAGAAAGATAGGAAATCATTATTGTCTAAGAATCAAGGCAGTATTAAGAAAGAAAGAAAGAAAGAAAGAAAGAAAGAAAGAAAGAAAGAAAGAAAGAGAGAGAGAGAGAGAGAGTTTAATTAAAGAAACATCGAATGAAAAATAGACAAAGGAAAAGAACAAAAAGAAGAATGATAGGAAGAGGAAGAATAAGGAGAAGGAAGAGAAGGGAAGAGAAAATGGTAGTGGAAAAAAGAAGCAAAAGAGAAAGAAAGAAAGATATTGTCTAATAATGACAGATGATATTTTTAAAGGAAAATTAAATCGGTATTGTCTAAGAAAGAGAGCCCTTTTAAGAAATAAAGAAATAGTTGAGCAAAAGGAATGTCGGATGGAAGAAGAAGAAGAAGAAGAAGAAGAAGAATTGATTGCAGAACGGTTATTGGAAGGAATGAGAAGAAGAAGAAAAAATTGGCGGAGGAGGAAGAGAAGAAGAAGAAGAAGAAGAAGAAGAAGAAGAAGAAGAATGGATTGCAGAACGCTTATTGGAAGGAAGAAGAAGAGGAAGAAGAAGAAGAAGAAGAAGAAGAAGAAGAAGAAGAAGAAGAAGAATATGTATATAAGAGGGAAACGGGAAAAGACAAAAATGAAGATGGAAAAAAAGAAGTGTAAGGGAAGATGAAAACGTAATGAACGGAAGAAAAGAAAAAAGAAAGAACGGAATCTTGAAATATATTTCAAAATAATGACAGAGAGAGGTAATTCAAAAGGTAAACGAAAACAGAGTATTGTCTAAGAAGCAAAACATTTTTACAAAAGAAAGAAATAAGTACTTTAATTAAAAGGAATGTCGAAAGAATAGTAGACTACAAAGAAAAAGAAGACATTTGATTGAGAGTTTTAAAAAAAGGACATTAGATAGAAGAAAGTGAAAGAAAAGAAACAAAAAAGAAGATGAAAAACGTACAAATATCGAGAAACAGATTTGAAAAGGGAAACAATAGCAGAATATATTCATTCACTGGACACTTAATTAAACACACGTGAACAAATGCACTTTTATGTAAATTTCTAATCAGCCAATGATGTTACTGTAATGTAATGGATATAGACATTTAAACACGGTAATGGCGTCCTGTTAGGTTTATTTTATGTGTGGGAACGAAAGGTGATTTAAGTCTCTTTGAAAAACAAGTTTTTTTTGGTGGGGGGTAGGCATTTATTTTAAGGCGACATGGTGACCAACGAATCAGATTTTCGTATTTCGAAAACTACTGACATAATAAGATTTTTAAAAGCAACCATCTTTATTGTTTACAGAAAATGACCAGAAAAATAAAATAATTCAAATTAACAGCAATTATATTAGCAGAAATCTCCTGTTAATGAAAGAGGTTAGGGGAAGTTCTAGAACTTATAGAAATGTAATGGTAACCGAAATAACCAGTTTCTATAACAGACCTATGCAAAAAAAAATCATGTCTAAACGCACAACACCATAAAACATACGGGCAACATCAGCAGAAGACCACGACGGGTATCACTCATGTTAGATAAGAACATGAACTTAAGGCTGTCGTATGCTGTCAGCACTCCTACATTAAAAAAAACTAGCGAGAGAAGAAACTTAACCTTTCAAGACCAGTGACTGTTGTAAAACGGATTCAGCTTATAAAAGACCTCAAAAATCGAAAAGCAGCATTTTGCTGCTAAGATTTCTAGGAGAAAAGTGTAGTATCTGTTCTAGCTGCAGACAGTTGAAGCAGAGATCCAGACAGCGACAGTTCCAACCATCCTCATTATCATCGACCGCAACATCAGCCAATAACAGCAATATGTGAGAAACTGTCCTTTTCAGGACAACGCTCTTCAGCAACTACAAAACTGTCCTTTTTAGGACGATGCTTTTCAGCAACTACAAAACTGTCCTTTTCGGGACGATCCTTTTATGCGACTACAAAACTGTCCTGCTAATTACCCATAGCTGAGGAGAAAAGAAGATTCCTACCTTTCCCAGGGATATTGGCACGTGAGTGAATGTAATTGATTCGACTGGAATCCAAGCTGCTATCCATTACTCCACCACGCGTATTATAGATGAAGGCGTATTATACATGGAGAATTACGGTAATACAAAAAAGGATATGCTGTGTTATCTGTCTTGATCTCAGTTTCATTTCCTTTCTCACCGCCATAACAGAGCTTCTCGGTGCCTTCTCTATAAATATTTCCATGGTTATTATTCCGAGATTTCTTTTTTGTTTCTTTGTATTTCGCATCCACACAGAGAAAATGTACATATGGTAACAACTAGGGCTTCTTAGAGACTTGAGGTATTATGGTGACTGCAGTAAAAACGGTAAGTAATAATATATTGTTTTGGGGTAAAGTATCCTGTGGTATGTTTAGGTCACTAATTCTGGCTGGCTAAGATTAAGATTGAAGACTGAGCTTCCTCCACTTTGGACACATTTTTCTATTTGAAAAATAAATATTGCTTCCTTCTTTTTTATCTAGATTCTATAAGCTGTTACGTGACATCTGTCCTCCTTTACGGTAGCGAATGTTGGACGGTCTCCTCAAAGATTAAGAAGAGACTCTAGGCTCGGAGATGTGGTTCTACAGAAGGATGTTGAGGATATCATAGACGGAGCGTGTGAGCAATGATGAGGTCTTGGAGCGGATGCAAATAAGGAGGAGTCATATACTTAACATCAGGAAGAGGCAGCTGAAGTTTCTGCGACACATAATGAGGAAGGAGGGCCTGGAGAATCTGATACTCTCAGGTCGACTAGAAGAAAAATGAGACAAGGTAAAGCAACGCATGACATATCTGGCGGGCTTTTAAGCAAATGGGTGAACTTCCGGCTTCTTGATTTCCAGTTAAATCCGATCTTCAAAAATTTAAATGCAATGTCAGTCGTTTTCTTCTGTTTTCTGAATTCTTGTTATTTTATTGTCCTCTCTCCTTGATAGTAGTTGTTCTCATATTCTGTAACACTCTAGCGTCGTAGTGTCCTTATTGCCTTCCCTCGGGTCAAAGGGTTTCATATTATTACACTTTTGGTATCACGACTTCAGGCATTATCCAACCGCCGTAATGTAGCTTCCTTATAACTCTTCTATAAATACTTTCATGGTAATTGTTCTGATCAACTGACCTCTATTGAAAGGGTCGGCAACATTTTGCTAGGTGCCGACTTAGGGTTTTAAAATCTTTCAGTGTGTAAACAGCATACGTGTTTTTATACAAGTCAAGGTCAATATACCTGTTCTACAATATATTTTATATAGTAATATATATATATATATATATATATATATATATATATATATACTTTTAGTATATATACTAAAATTGAAACAGCTAAATATCTTCATTATGTTGTAATAGTTATTAGTTTGAACAGCATTAATATTTTTATACAAGTCAAGGTCCATATACTTGTTCTACAATATATTTTATATAGTAATATATATATATATATATATATATATATATATATATATATATATATATATATATATATATATATATATATATATATATACTTTTAGTATATATACTAAAATTGAAACAGCTATATATCTTCATTGCGTTGCAGTAGTTATTGTTTCGAACTTCGTAATGTTATTTGCGGCTGTTTGGCTTTGAAAATTGCTTGGCGTGCTAAATGTGGCACGCGTGCCGTAGGTTGCTGATCTCTGCTCTATGGTACCTGGACTTGAGAAATTTAAGCGCAGTACAAGATTGGCGACAAGGTCTCTTCATCTTACAGTTGAAATGGCTAGATATAATCCTAGATTTTACGCTAATACTTTTTTCCAACTTTCTTCTCACTTGTGGAACTCTCTTCTGGCTTCTTGCTTTCAAGTCAAATTCGATTCCTTCAAAGCGGTGTATTTCATGACACCTATGAAAATACAACGAATTATATTCCAACACTCATGGCCCACAAACAATATGGATGAATACACTGCTATACAATCATAACTTCAGAATAAAAATGAAGGTTTATATTAGTTTTATTTGGTCGACCCAAAACGCTTGCATCCCAGTGTAGGTCCTTGACTTTCCCAGGTTAATTTCAGTGATGCAAAACCTAAGCAGCTTCAGATGAAACTTGAACTCTTTTCTCCGATTTAATCTCTTCATGCCAATAAACGCTACGCCCTTCGGTACCGCCATATACAGCTGACTAATAGTTAAACTGCAGTTATCACGTTAATAAATAAATCAAGGTAATAGAGATACCATTTAACAGTGCATATCTCTTGGCACCTGAATTCAATCGACAAAAAATTCCACCTGAAGAAATATCGTAAAAACTCTGCCGGCAAGAAAGAATTCCTCTATTTCATCA